ATATACCTATTATATATATATATATATAAAACTTGTATCCGCACACGTTATACACGTACACGTTATGTACGTACACAGAGTATACGTGGGTATGTACTGTATTTCTCGGATTAACGCGCGTCTGTATAGGTACTTATACGATTTTTATAGCTGCTGGCGATTTTACACGGGAAAGTGGAGCGAAATGTCGTATACATTGTGTACTAAGTGCAATGTATAGACTTGGTGTACCAACATAGAGGGGATGAGGTGGGTAGATATTGCGAGGTAGTAAGTATAACGTTCCCTAGCACTGTGCCGTGATGTCGAAACAAGACCCATACATATATATACCTAGAGGTGGCTCGGTCGGCTAGGTCGTGGATTGGCACGCGGGGGAGACCGTGCATGGTTCTATTGCCGGCCAGTGCGACTTTTCGGGCAAGCACCTCTGTGATTCTCACATGTGCTTTTTCTCCACGCAATTGCTCCTCGAGGAGGGTTTAGGTGACCTTCTAGCAGCAAAAATTGCCTTATTTCCCCCTATCCCCCTCCCAGTAATGGATCCCTTTCCTTATCCCTTTTCCAAGTGCTAAGTGCCCATAGTAGTGCCCTTATTAAAAAGGAGCCGAACGTAGACCACTCTAATATAAAAAAAAAACCAACAAAAAAAACGTATATATACCTTCCTTCGGTCTTTTGGATACAACAACGTACTTTGTTGCTGCAGAGTTTTATTGCAACCCACACAATTGTATGGAAAAATGGCCAAGACGTTAACGTGCCTCCTGCCTTAAACTGAAAAAAAAGCCGTTGGGACAAAAAAAGGGCACGGAATATACCCCTAACGTGTTACCGTACAGAGCTTTGAAAATAAAAAAAAATCGTGTTGTAAGCGCGCTTTGAAAAATTGAAGCCGTCATTCGAATACGAGCTTACTTCCAAAGCAAACGAATAACTTTAAAATCAATATATATACGTGTCGTTTGGACGCCCGATTTATCGTTTTAAACCTGGAGAAGAACGCAAAACTACCGTATAAAAGGGGGAGGGAAGAAAAAAAGGTAAAATCGTTACAATCAAGCGAGCATCACAGCTCGACAGGCGAGAAGAAAAGATCGGCTCGAAAGACCCGAGAAGAAGGAAGCTCGCGCTCTCGATACACGACCGTGTATACACGTACATATATGTAGGGAGGCGTAGGAGGAGGCAAAGCGAAGGAAGGAAGGATGGATGGACAAAAAAAGAAGAAGACCCTTTACCTTGGTTTAAGAGAGAGAGAGAGAGAGTCGTCGTGCGCCTGATGCTGCCACTAGCTTACATATACATACACCTACCTATATTATATATATGTATACTAAACTCCTCTCTCTCTCTCTCTCTTTGTATATATATTATATAGTGTTATACTCACTGCACGTATATATACTTATGGGTACACATACGGGGGTGGAGGGGGTGGGGAGGTCAACGTCTCTTTCTCTTCTCCAGCGGCAACGGCTATACGAGAGTCGTCGCGAGAGACCGCGGCAGCGGCACACGAATATAAAGTAGGCAGGGGCACAAAAAGATATCGCACGTGTCTCCAAATGAGCCGGAGTTCCAACGTAGTATATACTTATACTATACGGTACAACACAATACAATAATATATACCTATGTGTGCGCTCTTGGTTATGTATATTTATATGTTAGCCCTTTGTTTCTTCAGTTCTTCCTCTCCCCCGTCTTCTGATGCCTGCTTTCCTCCATATACCTAGGCTTATACCTTGCAGAGAAAAAGAGATAGAGAGAGTGGACGATGGGCACGTAAGTAGGACACGTTCAATTGTTCGAGATGGAAAGCTCGATCGTTCGCTCCAAACAGGGGGATGATTTTACAACGTCAGGATGTGTGTCTCTGCCCCATGGGGGAAGATGCATCATCATTTGTGCACGTATAAGAGGTCGCCGAATCTGGAGTCGAGCACGAACAATATATATTATGCGCTTCTCCGAAATCATAAACGGGCCGACTCCTTTAAAGTATACCTGCATATATACCTATACACACAGAGATGGCAAGTGAACGAGCACGCATTAAAACTTTTTTTTTTTTTTTTTTTTTTTGCGACTACCAGCAAATGCATTTAGTATACAATCGAAAAAATTGTAAATAATTATTTGCTCTTGATACAGAGGGTATCCTCATTTCTCGCATTTCCAGGTGCGCAACGCGTCCAACGCCACCGATCGATCTACGCTTACACACCTCCAAAGCGCCAGGACCAATTTCGCAGTTGAATAATTCACGCTAGCCGTACGCATATATATATACAGGTACTTAATAGTATTACCCGAGCAAGACCCTCCCTCTTGTTGTTGCGCGGTGCAGGCCGTCGAAATTCGCGCTCGAAAATAAATATACGATTTAGGGTATATACATAAAGCGCGCCCATCAAACTATATAACATTAAGTGAAGCAGCGGGGAGGCTGCGTGAGAGTTTAAAGCAGTAGTGGGGGGGGGGGGAATACCTTTGCTCGCGGGTGCGACTGTGGGTACGGCTCCACCCCGCAGTGACTTGGGGGTGCGGTGGCGAGATCAGCGAGACAGCGGCTGTTACACCTATATGCGTGCAGTATGTACCTACTTGTTGTATTATGCATGTAGGTGTAGCAGTGAGATAAGGGACATCGAGCTCGTTCAAGCAGATGTGAACGCGTAACGTTATATATATCTAGGGGTATACACATGGATATCATATAGTGTATGTACCAGCGCGTCAGAGAAAATTCGATATCTCTCTCCGAGGGCTGTGGTGGCTCACTGATTATTTAACGAGCAAGCAGCCGCCTTTGGATGACAACGAGTTGGCTATATAACGTGGAGATGGGTCAGTTAGATGCGTTTTGTGCGAGGCAAACCTGTGGTGAGCCTAATATACTTATCACTCGACACCTGCTGTGTCCCTGCACGCGTCTTCGTTTGTGTGTTTTTATATACCGACCTGTGTAAATATAATGCACTGTGACAATATACTGCGAAAAGTATTTCAATATTGGCAGGTATAATAATATCTTGCGCTTTTTTTTATACAACGTAAGCGGTGGATTTAATCGATACTCGTTGTATACGTATACTTATTACAATATAGTACCATACAAGTGCAGGTGATATGGCCTTTTCCGTCTTCGAGAACACTTTACGAGTTTTTATTCATTTACAGTATTACAGAAGGATCATGTTTACAAAACATACAAATGAATGAGTGTGACTGTCTCGATGACTATATCACTGCAGTGATTCAGAACGCGATAATGAACCAAAACAAGTGTGGTAAACTCGACAAGATCCAATTATCTTTTCAATCCGCATGTCGATAATTAATTTCCAGCCAAAATATTGTAGCGCGTCCGATAAAAATTTCATTAAATCACATACATTACGAAACAATAAAAAAGAGAAAGAAGACGATGTATAAAACAACCCCGTGATAAGTATAACATTATGTTCTTCACTGGGATTTTATCAAATGAGAAGGCAAACAACTTAGTTATACAATTCAACTATGAGGTGGAAAAAAAAAAAAAAAAAAAAAAAAAAAACAAGCCTCACCTATGTGTGCTCACGCGAGTGGGGTAAAAACAAGAAGGGCGCCCTTGAAAACAAGAAAAAAGATACTCACCCTGGCTAAAGTGTTTGGCGACCATGGCTGGTGGTCCTTCGCCCCTAGTAGCAGCAGCAGAGCAGCGCTGGCACGTATACGTACATATATACACTAAACATCCATCACTACCACCACCGGCGCCACCGCCACCACCCCCTGTGTGCTGGTCGGCGACGGGTGCGAGAGCCCAGGCTTTATATGTGTATATACGCGTACGCTACCCCCGGCAAGCGCCGCTTCGAGCTCTTCTCCTTCACCGTTGTTATCTATCACTCTCCACCGCTGATTTGCAAAGGTAGGCAAAAACACGGTCACGCCGAGCCAGCCATGCCTTTTTCTTTCGCACTAATGCAGCATCATCATCATTATTGACATAATCATAATGTATAATAGGTATAAACACTCCCGAAAATGCACCCTCGATTGGTAAAAATGAGAAACACAGGGCAAAAAATCCTTTAGAAAAAAAAGGCACCTTTATAATATACACAAGCGCACACGCACGTGTTGTAAATACGAAGAGTGGCGAAAAAGAGAGGGTGCGCGAAAGACGCAGCCACGCGACTACCCTGATATGATGTACCAAGATGCTGCTGTATGCACCCACGTACACAAACTCACATAAAACACTGTTTAGTCTCTCTCTCCCCTTTTTTGGGGAATTATTATATACGAGTATCACACGGATGCGAATGTACTTATGTGTATAAATATTTCTGTAGGATGGGCGCGCGTGTAAAAGATAGAAAATAGAAAGAAAGGACTCCTTTCGAAGGACGAGATGCAGAGAACAGTAGCAGACCGTCGGACGGTTGCCAGCCGACTGCTCCGAAACGACACGCCGAGCGAGACCCGAGCCTTGTCAGCGGTGCCCAGCGCAGCGAACTCCGAACCCGCCCGCCGTTTTATATATATGTATACACAAATCTATTCGGTAACTCTCGCTTGCGACTCCAAGCTCCGATGCTCCGAACTGCAACGGGGGGACACAACTCTTTTGTTTACATCATGACCTCCACCGTGACTCTCAACCATTAATATTCTTTGATTCGCTGTACTAGCAATAAATTGACTCAACACCTTTTTATTCTTCAAAAATTTTTGAGACAATGCCAAGATTTGAAAATTTAGAGCATCTACAAGAGTAATTTTTTATTCGAGATAATTAACAAAGATGATAAAACAAAACGAGAGATCGTCCGTTGGTAAGGTAGGCAACCGCGTTATCATCTGAAAACATTTTACCGATCACCGATCATGGAAGTTTCATTCTTACCTCGAGTAGGGGGCAGCAGTGATGTGTCAACGTCCGTTATATATATCCATTTTTTTAAAAACATTCAGTTCAGTTACTCGGTTACTCCACTCCAAATGTATACAGTTATAATATTTAGTCACAGTCTGTCCGTCTGTTGTCGGATTTTTGACAATATATTGAATTCTTGAAATAGGTACCCTACAGGATATCAAATCAAGTCAGTAGAAGTGCAGCAGTAGTGTGTGAGCACTGTAAAGTGCAGTAGTTGTGCATCACTATCGGTGACAGTTTTACGACACTTTGTGCGTGATTCCAAACCAAACAGCCAAATTAGTCTTTGGGACAAAAGACATACTCATTTGTACATGGATGGATGAGGTTATGAAGAATCGTTTGCTGTTTACAACAAGCAAAGTTGAAAGAAAACTCATTGTTGCCTGGATAATCAGTGGTAATTTTTTGTAAATCTAATAATTTTTTCCCTAAGTATACCAAGGCTTAAAAATTTACGCGATAGTACTGGTATTTCCTCAGAGATGACGGTACTAGTAAGTACACAACGGGTAATACAACAATAATAACCAAGAGAGAGAGAGAGAGAGAGGAAAGAACTTTTGCAATCAAAACTTGTTTGATTCACTTACTTACCTATAAAGATTTTTTCTCGATATTTGCCGCAGTGTACTGCAGTAACTGCAGAGGTTGCGATAATTTTGTGAAACTGGCATTGGGTGCTGTTAACTGGTAAATTATAGCTTGAGAGTTGAGTCATCTAAGAGTTTTCAGAATTTTAATACGTTTTTGCATTGTTGTTTACTGTATTAATTTGCGATGACGAATGAATGATGGCGAGAAAAAGAACATTAATATTTCATGCTCCATTGGGAAACTTCCTTTCTTTTCTTTTCTTTTTGTTTTTTTGAATGCCATCTTTTGTACCTACTTATACAGTCATGGATGTGAAAATTTATCGGCCCATTGATCATACTCAACATTTCGTTGCAGGCGTTAATAAATTATTTTGCAACTCATAAAAATCGCGAAACATAAATTTTACTTCGAAATTTCAGTTAATTAACTTTTGTCCATAATATAATTATACCGTGCATTCCATTCTCCAAAGTGCGATTGCCTCTTAACCACGTTTACTATTACTTTAGATAATAATATGTAAGTACCCAAAAAAAAAAAATTGTAAGAATTGCCCGGCGTCGTGGCGATCATAATTAAGCCGCAAGAACGGTAAATACACATTTGGACGTAACGGAAGTGCGCGCGTGTATCTATATGGAATATAATATAAATCTTACTCGAGACATCCCCCGCATAACCGATGAACCTTTTTATGCGCACTTATAAGTACACCTACATCAAAAGTTTTTTCAATCCCCCACAAGTAAGTATAAGTATGTGCCTGCAGATGCGGGTACGAAAACGCGACATAATCATACAGGTGATAATATGTAGTACATATAAGTATATATACGCAGGTAGGTATTGGGTATTGCTCTGTAGATCGGCATATCAGGCCACATATTATATATGAATCACTCGGTATATGGGCAAAATATATCGTATGACTCTCAGTTACCGCTGCTGCAACAGCTCCAGCTGTCCAAGGTTTCGCTTTTACATTACATGTGAAACGCCCGACAACACTGTTATACTTATATACACCATATTTATATTGTACAGTATATAATATAAACATGTATCTACACTGTAACAGTGACGGTGTGCACCTTTAATTGAAAGCGATGCACGCGACCCTGATGGATGAAATATCAAAACCCACGTGCACGCGGCCAACGTTCTCCTTTCGATATTCAAGTTTCTATTTCTAATCTTTTTTTTTTTTTTTTTTTTTTTTTTTTTTTTTTTTTTTTTTTTTTNGCGCCACATCTAACACGGGCTTCGGTGTGTATATTATATATACATATCTACATTGCACTTTTTTTGACGCTAGATTTTATCAATTTTTAATGTATAACGGCACACACCCACCCACCCATAAAACATACAAAAAAGGGAAACCCCTTGATTGATTACGATGATTATCAATGAACGGCCAGCTTATTGACAAGTTTCTATTTCTAATCTTTTTTTTTTTTTTTTTTTTTTTTTTTTTTTTTTTTTTTTTTTTTTTTTTTTTTTTTTACCATTATCACTGTCAACATCATCATCGTTAGATCTGATACACCAACAGCTATAGGTGGGCAGCCAATTACATAGGTCCCTATACCGCTGTAAACACCCGATACGTGATGTAATTAAGTTTAACTCGGACAGACTACGTGACGAAACATTCCGTGAGTGTACACTTTATGACGATAAAACGTGTGTTTCGCTGCCATGCCGACAAATCAATATTGTTTTGGTAAATTCTCAAAGCCGATTTTTCGCAGAGCCCATAGAGAGAGAGAAAAAGAGAGTTGTTATAATTATAAGCCACCACGGCTATACACATTTGCAATTACAATACGAGGTATATTGCTCTAGGTAAGCGCATTCTATTTTTACTTTCGTGTAACTCTTGCGTCTCGTGAAATTCGTTGTTCACGCAACTCTCGAATCAAGAAGAACATTAGTCGCGATCTTGATTGATTACGATGATTATCAATGAACGGCCAGCTTATTGACCACATTAGATTTTCAATTGCTGTTTTTTTTTTTTTTTTTTTCTTTTTTCTCCGGAAGGCGAAAATTCAATTACGATCCGGTAGATAAAGCACACGCATACTCGAGCGCTTTTAACAAAGGACGTCCCGGATGACTCATTTTCCGCTTCATAAATCACGGCGGGCCCCGACAAAACGATCTCTCTTTCCTATGTAGGTATACCTGCCGTCAGAGAGAAAAAACAAACAAAACACCATTCGGACTCGTTTTGTAATTCAAACTCGCGTTCGAAAATAAAAAGAGAAGAAAAATAATAACACTTGTAAGTCTGCCAAAGCTCCCCCAGAATCTACTCCCCTGCAATCAAGATCGGCTTCGGCCCAACTCGGTATCCACAAAAAAACCTGCATCGAAAATACACAGCAGCCAATGCCGATCATCTCTATCGATGAGATTGAAGCAGGGACCTTTGCTCAAAGGATTAAATTAATTGCTTGTATACACGATAATACCTACTTCCATGCCGACTCGTACAGCACTACAGCCTCGAAGCTCCACTCGATGATGGTGAACAATCGATCGCGTACTCTGTATACCCACGTAAGTGTACTCACCTATGACCGTATAAGTTATAGGTATGAATGTACGGGTATATCTATATCGTATCTGCTTGCACTCTCCGTTTTGGTTGACCTTTTCTCGGAAAACTGTGTGTACCTGTGTACTATGGGTAGTTGGAAAAAAAAAAACCACCATAAAAGAGGAAAATGGCGTGGGTACCTATACAGGTATACGTTGTATTGAAATAGCGATCGTTTTGCCTTTTCCTTTGTCTTACGGCCTCGCTTATACGGCTTGGAGCGAGCGCGTTTTGAAGGTGCAAAACTCGGCAAAACTTAACAACGAGCGAATACTTAAGTACCTACACAAGTCATGTATACATATGGACAACAAAACGGCCCGGCTGTTGTTGCTATAATAAAATGCAAAAACGTATAGAGGCCACACGTAATGCAAGAGAGAGAGAGAGAGAAAAGGAGAAACATGAGCCGCGCAGTGAGAGTGGGTGCGGAGAGAAAAAAAAAGTCACGCCGGAGAAGCGAGTGCTTGGGCCCAGACTGTCTTGCACTTGCATCCGTAGGCGCACGTGAGCTACTTTGAGAATAATGAGTATAACATCACCTCCTCCTCCTCCTT